CATAATTTCAACTCTGCCTATGGTAAGGTAAAACACAGTAACTTCTCTGTGCAATTCCTTAAGATATTAGAATTCTGCTAGTAGAACCATAGAATCAATGATTTGGGTTGGAAGGATTGCAATTCTTTTTGCGAAGCCATGAGTCAGTATATTTTATACACTAGTCTGATGTGTATGATGATGTGAATTCACAAAGATTGATCATCTGAAAATAAATTCCAAGCCAATTTGCTTTATGTACAATGAAAGTAGAAGCAGAAATTAGTTGTATTGTTGTGTTATATACTATTTATCTAATGGAAAAAATGGGATTTTGAATAAATTTTTTTCTTCTTTTCTTTCCTGCTACCTTTTATCCTCCTTTTCCTCCCTCATCTTCTCTCTGCCTTGATATTGGGGATATAAAAATGTGACTTTCTAGACACTGTAATGTACTTAAAAGCATGAAGTTAATACATTTCAAACAGCTGAAGTCTTTTTGTTAGGAAGCATATAAAGAATTTGCTGTTTATTTAATTGCCAGTGTTTCTGCTGTTTGCTGTGTCCTTTTGTTTTAATGAGTAAACCAAAGAATATTTGCACTCCAAACTTTTTTTGCCTTTTTTTTCTTGTTGCATTTTAAATTATAAAGAGCAAGTGTGACCTGTACCAGCAACAAAAACATTGCAGCTTCTGACACATAGTTTCAGCATTTCTTGTGATTTTTTGGGAGAGAAAATTCAGTTTTATTCATGTTTGGTTGGTCATTAGGCTCTGAATAGTCCCAGAAATGTGCAGAGAAATGTTTTCAAAATGTTAGCTCATTTAGTAAAAAACACTAGTGTCCAGCAGAGGGAGATTAAGGCTCTTTTCCCACCTAGAAAGAGAAAGCTGTTTGTTTTCTTTACTAGTTCACTCTGCGGTGAGAATAAAAAGGAATTTGACGTCTAGAAATTGAGACAGTTTTCTTTACAAATCCTGTTTCCAAATTGTGTTCTGATTCTCCCAAAATAGTGTAGTTCATAATGAATGGTAATAGTAACTGAAAGAAGGACAGTTCCTTGTTTAGAACCAGGTGTAATGTAATGTAAGCATGTGCTGTGTAAACACAGATTTTCTTGAGCCATGACCCAGAATATTTTGATTGCTCAAATTTTAATTTTCTCTGGGATAAAAGTTGCTGAAATGGTCCTTGCACATTGTTAGTGAACACCTGCTTACATATATATGAGCCATATTGTAGTCAAACTATGTGTATTTTCAGCACATGGTACCTTCTTACTCAGATGCATTAACTTGCTATTTCCTTATTAGAAGAAGTGAAAATTGTTCATGGATATTTGATTATAAAATCTTGAGAACTATAAGAACTTACATTTAGCTCACAATCAAGTTGCATTCTTCTGAGATGCTGTAACAATGGTTCTTGTCTGGCATTCATTTTGTGCTACAAAGAAGTGACTTCTGTAATAATGAAAGAAACCAATTGTGTTGGTTTTCCAAATACCTACCATTATAAATAACATGATACAGCACTCAAGCTGTATACTTTTACACTTAAGTTATTTTTCCTGCGGCATACATAAATAGTAGCTTTAATTATCAAAATTCAGGAACAAATTGATAGCATTTTTCCCTGTAGTACACTTGTTATATTAAGGCATCGACCCTCTAGCAGAAACTTGACATAGTCAAGATTTTAAGGAGGTTACAGTGTTCCTGTTTAATTACAGGCAGCATATTATTTTGTGCTGTAAGACTGATGCAATACTGTGTTTTAACAGGGTAATAATTCCTAATTTATTAAAATCCAATTATAATGGATTCATTTTACAGCAGACTTTTAAATCTCAGTACCTTAGGTGTTTCATATTAGTAACATCCTTTCAATGCTTAATTAATGTGTGATGCCTAATGCTGTCAAAATACACATTGGTGAAGTTCTGGGAGAAAACTAATCTTGGAGTCTTCTAGAGACATTGAAAACGTGCTAAGTCAGACCTTGGGTACCTTTTGCAAGACAAACAAATGTGATCTCAGCCATACAGTGAAAACAAGATACAAGGAAAGTTTATCACGGCCTTTTCATGTGGGCCACCTTAAAAAGGATTCATTAGAACATTTGGCCACTCCTTAATTATGTTTGTATGCATAGGCAAACAAAAAGACATAGTTGGGTAGTTACAAATCTTATTCTTGTCCCTGAGCTCTCTTGAGATTTTACTCCATTTAGAAGCTGCAGAGATTATTGGGAATCTGAAAGGTTTCAGCAGCTGGTGTGGGGTGGTTTGTGGTGGGGTTTTTTTTCTAAAAGGAAAATACCAAATCATGTCTCTTCTAAAAAACTATTAAATGCCATCCCTGAAACAAATTCCTGTAAAATAAAGGAGTGATGATAAGACCAATTGCTTTCTCATATCTCTCCCTGAAGAGATTACATTGTCCCAAGGAAATAGGGAACTGATTCTGGTGGTAGTTGTCTTCAGTCACTTTCCAGATAACCTGGACATTGTATGGGCTTATGCGATCTCTCTATGATGAGTGTTGGCCACCTGATGACCTGCTATCAAGGCTTTTCTTTGACTTCACATGTTCTTCCTGCCCTTCCAAGCAGCTGAATTGCTCTTAAGACAGGTCAACTCCTTCCCTACTGTTTTTGCCCCAAAATTATATTATGTTGTGTATGCATCTAGGGAGAATAGTAGATAGACTACATAACCCACTCCACTTAATGAGAAAAAGCAGCAATAAACACCAGTTTCCTGAGGGATTTTTTTGCAATGTAATTTGATCTCTGAAAGAATAATCTCCGTCTTGATTTAGTTGTTTATACTGCTTTGGCTATAATCTACACTCTCATCAGTATAGTAGCATTTACTTCTGATTTCAGTACATGTACTTCTGAGCCTTTGGGGGATTTTATGTGTTTTTGAATGGATTAGCATTGGTATACTTTAACATGAACATCAAACAAAGATCCTTGTTTGCATAACCATTTGGAGAGAAGTTTTGTTACAACTGTTTTTCGCTGAGATTTGGGCAGGTCCGCCAACATTCATGGTAAGTGGTAAACATCTGTGCTCTGGATCAAAAAACTGTAAGAGGAGATTATAGTTGTCCAGAAAAGTTGTGTATGATTATCACATAAATAAAACTTCTTTTGGGAGAGGAAAGTTTCCTATTTATCTTAAAACCAAAATGGGTACACAGAACCACACTGTGGCTATTACTCAGAAAGTTTAGACTAAATAATATAGTTGTTTCAAGTTTGTTAAAAAAAACCCTAAAACCCCAAAGTAACCTTGCATTTGTTCTTCTAATGAAAGATATTCTGAGAAAATAATCCATTCTAGTCCGTTCATGTTGAAGTTTTCATACTGCAGCTGAAATGATATTGCAACTTTGCAAGTCATGTTTTTTATTAAATGTTTTAGGTCACCATGTGATTTATTTTCTCTCTATAAAAACAAAGGAGTAGTAACTCCTTATAGGCTATATCTGAGAGGTCTCTCAGTTACAGTGGTGCTCAGTCTGCATCACAAATCAAGATTTCTTAATGTTGAAACCACGAATTATTAAAGTGACCTTGGGTTTTTTTAGTATTCAGTTTTAATATTTAGAGTCTTGTTTTCCATTTTCAAGGTTTGTATTTTTGGTCAAGACGTTCCTGAATCAATACCCACTTTTTTCTTGCAAGCTTGGGAAATGCAGGAGCTGATATATATCTTCTAACAATCTGTAAATTTCTACTTGCTAGCACAGCACCAGTTCCTGGAGAAACATCCCTTATGGCATTTTTTTCTATTAAGGAGCAAATTGAAAAGAGACAGCTCATAACTTTGGGGTGTACCATAATTACACAATATCAAGCAAAGAAGCAGACTATAATGATTTAGAATAATGTAATTAGGAAAGTACTTTACTTGCCCAGCTTTCCCAAGCAAGCAAAACTTATTTGCTATTTGTTGTTCTCCCCTGTGAGAAAGTCTTCTTGTGGTAGCTGGAGGACAAAGGTGGAGCTTCCTATAGTTACTGTAATTTAGATAGAAATTACTTTTACCGTCAGATATAAGACTTTCCACTGTCTGCTCTAAAAATCTTAACAGTGAATTTTAATATCATACTTTCCATTGACTTCATGACAAGTTAATTCCTATTTCATTTGTTTGTATTCATTTGTTTGTAGTCTTCTTGTGGTAGCTGGAGGACAAAGGTGGAGCTTCCTATAGTTACTGTAATTTAGATAGAAATTACTTTTACCGTCAGATATAAGACTTTCCACTGTCT